TGGTTTTATATAATACCTATGATTTGGGAGAAAGTATGGTACGACTCTTAAGGTGATAGAGTGACGTTTGGTGGATATTTCAATTTTTGAAAGCTAGAAATTAAATTTGAAAAAATTAACCAAAGCCAACATTTTGAACTAACAAAGTTGGGTCTCATTTCTAACAAATCTATTTAATATTGAAGGTGATTTTAATTTCTTGAATGATTGGTGTCATTCTTGGGTCATTTAGGGGGTGTTCTGAATCAATAGATGAAATTCTAAATTTTTTAGAGCTTAAAGTTGACAATGATTAACACTCTATCTAGACAAACAATTTCAGATGGGTGACTTGATTATTCAAACATATCTTAAAAATAATTAATTTGGTCCAGAATGAATTTCAGATGTTCATTATGTGGGTAAAAAATTATAGTACCGCCAACATAATATGAGCTTCGACTTGAGCTTTGACTGAACTATTATATCATATCATAATTTTTTATTTATATCAACAACAGTTTTTCACATTCTAAACACATATGAGAAAACAATAATCATTTTAGTATATTAAACATATTTTATAATATACCACAAAATATTAAATAAAAATGAATACTTAGAAAGGATAATTTATTCAATAGATCATATTTTTCTCTCTCTTTTTTTTAGTTGAATGATTATTTTTGGAACAAATTGAACTTATTTTAATGACTAAATTCCTAACTCCTCTCATAATTACCTTAAGAGGAATAAATTTAAGTTATTTCAAAAGAAAATCATTTGAACATCATACTATATTAAAAAGAAACATATTTTATAAAAATAAAACATTCACTATGATTCATAGAAAAGGACAAAATGCCCTTTAATGAATAAATGTAAATATAAGTTTTTCATTTTAAATTTTTGTAGAAATTAAACTAAGAACATGTGCAATGACATAAAGTCTTTTGCCCAACTTTTTTACATACTCCTCCACGCTCACATGAATCAATGCAATATTTCCAACATTTGCCATCGGTTTCTGGATCATCATCTTTCCCCGCTATACATGGACTTATATTTTTATGATCCATACAACACTTTCCAGCTGCATCGACTATATTATTACAACCTACAAACAGAGACGTACTGAGAATATCAAGATGATAGATGCACAATTATGAAAAGATGATCTAAAATACATATTTGATCGATTTAACTTTTAGATTTTTATCATGGTAATTGAAATTTAAAATAATAGATCCAAAATTAAAATGTCTAAATATATGAGAAAATGATTTGAGATAACATAAAATAATTAATTAATGTAGGTTAAAAATACCTATGAAAAGTATAAGGAGGGTAAAAAGAAGAACTGAAACACACTTGATGGCCATGCTTATATTAGTAGAAGTATTTGAGAGTTAATGTGTATATTCGTTGTGATAAGTGAGATGGTGATGGTGTTATTTATATAGTGAGAAATAGTAAAGGATCTTTGTCTTTACTATTAAAAAAAATTATACTTGATTAAAATTTTTCCATCTATTACTTAGCTTTAAAAGGAATAATGTTTAGTATCTTTTCATTTAAAGAAAAAATGTAAGGAACTGATAATTATTTAATGAAAAATTAAAAAAAATGATTATCTCATAATGAAATATCCATATTGGTCCTAGCAATTGGAGATTGTGATGAAAATGATAATTCAATATGAAAGCATACACAAAATTACGTGGACTTATATATATGTCATTGACTAAACAATAAGGTATACCATGTTTATATATATATATATATATATATATATATATATATATATATATATATATATATATATATATATATATAAAATAAGGTATACCATGTTTATATATATATATATATATATATATATATATATATATATAAAAACATTAACATGCAGTACAATTACACTAATATATATATGTGCTTAAAAGATCGGTAATAGAATTAAAATATATAATTAATAAATAATCCTTCATTTAGACATATCATATTCAATGTATATCATAATTCTAAAATATTTCGTTTCGACTTAAATCATATGCAGTACCTTAAAAATGTTCGCATATTTATTTAAATATCTCAATCTATTTTTATGTCTATTGAACACTTTATTTGTTCAAAAGTCATTCCAATAAGACAAAAATACTGGAATGTCAAAAATGTGTGCTACAATCCTGGTGAGAGCTTTTCATCATACCCTGTCAGGCTTGCTTTGCTTGGATGTTCTTGCCTTTGCCCCCCACGCCAGCTTGCTCTCTCATCCCTCCCACCCTTGCCTATACCTAGGATTCCCATTTGGTTCGCTATCACAAAGAGGAAAATGTTGATCAATCGATCTGGAAAGACACTCTCTTTAGGCACGTAAAACTATTGAAAATCATATAAAACTACTAGAAGAATGGCTATGGAAATAGGTCTCGAAGAAGAAGAAGACGCAGCGTGGGAGTGTTAATCAAAACAATAGATTTTGATTTTCCTAAAATTCATTTTGGATTATTTGGATAAAAAAATTTAAAAGTTGGATCTAATGACACGTGTCATCATTTTATTCGTATGTTTTTAATGTACAACCGTTTGAAAATACACACAATTTTTCAATTTATTGTGATTGTGTCAGTATAAATTTGTTAAGATTTAAGAAATTAATAGGTACAAGACTGAATTGAAGTGACTAGGTAAAATACTCGAACAACTTTAAGAGATCACCTATGATTAAGACCCTCATTACTACTTCTCAAGATGAACTCATGCTAACATGTTGAATCACACTATCTACATGATTATATTTTTGATTGTATGTATTGATCTTTTCAAATTCATAAATTAAAGTTTTATAAAGATCAAGTTCCGTTGTTCTATAAAAGTTAACTGAGAAAAAAGTTAGGTCAAAAAATATTTTTACAGTAACTTGGGATTTCTCTACCTAATTTAGATTTGGACGAAATCGAAATCTATGAGGTGTAGGGAAATATATTAGTAATTGGGTGATCTAATTATGAAATTGATTACATGAGTAGATAAGTAATTCCTTAAGGAAATTGTACGACCTTACGAAATTAAATTCGAGCGAGTAGAACTCCAAAATTGATAGTTTTTAAGTGTCATTGGTTGAAGGTGTGTTGTGAAATAAGGGTTTGAAATTATTAAAATTGCTCATTGTTTTCGTGCAAGCCGCTGAGGCGAGATTTTTGCAACTAAGGTAGGGCCGCTGTAGCTGGGTGAGTACCACTATGGCAGGACAGATTCGACCTAAAGTTGCAAATAAAGCCCAAAAATATTTTATTCTGTAAAATTCAAACTTGAGAGCTAAGGAACAAACCGAGGTATTTGATTGACATTTTCTCATCATTCTTAAGGCTAAATATAAGATTGTCACTCCATGAAATCGTTTTTCGATCCGTAGATTGTAACTATAACACCCCAAAAAAAATTGAACCAAGTCTCGAACTGTTCTTCATAGTGATTGAAATTTTATCAAGGAATTAGAACTTCTTGAGTCTTAAGGTCCCAAGATGTAGCACCTTGATTCTAAAGGAACTAAATTGGAAATAACAAAAAGAAAAATTTGAAATTTGGAGAGTTAAACTAAGTATGAGTTTTGGATCAACTTGAAACGACAATAACTCCTAGCAGATGATGAGTTAGGTGTGCTAATAGATACCTTAGAAAAGATCTTTGAATTATTTTTCCAACGGCGTCGAGTTTGCTAAGTTTCAAGTTAGAATGAGTAAGATATGACCTTTTCAAGTTAGGTTGTCCAGTTAAGGAAAGTTAGTCAAAAATAGTGACGGTTATTTTGGTCTTTTACCTTGGCCAAACAGATTTTATTTGCTTTTAGTAATATTTTACGAGTGTAATCCTATTAGGTTAAGTTTTATAATCCTAACATACGGAATCGAGATTCTTGCGTCTTGTTGCGGAATTTCGTCATGAGTAGAGGTATGTAAGTTTTCATAGTGTTGGATTTGTTCACCCACACACCAAACATATTATTTTCAGCGTGGTCTCAATCAAAAAATTGAAAAATTTAAGTTCTCGAGATACTAATCTTGTTATGTCGCGTAGTTTGGGTGGAAGTTCAGAGCGATAATTCATAGAACAAATTCCTTATTTTCATGTATAAATTGTACATTTTTAACATGTCATGTACCTGTTTAGACTAGCTCTGAGGGTCAGGTCTTTTGTAAATGGTTTTATTTAATATCCATGATTTGTGAGAATGTGTAGTACGAATCTTGAGGTGATAGAGTGAAGTTTGGAGGAGATTTCAATTTTTGAAAACTAGAAATTTAAAAAGTTTCACCAAAGGCAACATTTTGAATTAACATATTAAGTTGAGTCTGAAAACTGACAAATCTATGTAGTGTCGAGGGTGATTTTAATATCTTGAATGATTGGTGTGATTCCTGGAACATTGGGGGTGTTGTGAATTTAGATGAAATTCTAAATTTCTTAGAGCTTAGAGTTGACAACGATCAACACTTCATCAAAACAAACAATCTCGGATGAGTGACTTGATTATCCAGACATATCTTAAACATATTTTATAGTCAATTGAACTATTCTATCATATCGTAATTTTGAAATTATATCAAAAAGAAATGTCACATTCTAAATTCATATGAGAAAATAATGTTCATTTTAGTACAGACAATTATTACAAATTATTTTATTAGAAGATTACTCTTTACGAAAATGTTCGAGTATTTCTAGTAATATTTTGGGAGCATGGAAGCTCCGATTGAATTAATTATCAATGTATTTTTCTCATATAACTATTGTGTATATGATTATTTCCACATATTTTATAATATATACCACAAAAATTTAAATAAAAATGAATACTTAGAAAGGATAATTTATTCAATAGACCATATGTTTATTTTTTATTTTTTTTAGTTGAATGATTATTTTGGAACAAATTGAACTAATTCTAATGACTAAATTCCTAACTCCTCTCATAATTACCTTAAAGAGTAATAAATTTAATTTATTTCAAAAGAAAATCATTCAACTTCATACTATATTAAAAAGAAACTTATTTTATAGAATTAAAACATTCACTATGATTCATCGAAAAGGACGAAAGTGCCCTTTAATGAATGAGATTAAATATAAATTTCAAATTTCAATTTTTGCAGAAATTAAACTAAGAACAAGTGCAATGACATAAAGTCTTTTCCCCAACTGATTTACAAGCTCCTCCACGCTCACATGATTCAGGTTCATCATTGCAATATCTCCAACATTTGCCATCCAATTCTGGATTATCATCTTTCCCCGCTATACATGGACTTATATCTCGGTGATCCTTACAACACTTTTGATCTGCATCAATATTGCGACCTACAAACAGAGAAGTATTTCAAATTTTGAGATGATAGATTCACAATTATGAGAAAAATGAATCTAAAATACAATTTTAGATTTTAGATTTTTATCATCGTGAACAATTGAAATTTTAAAATAAAAACGTCGAATATTAAAATGCCAAAATATGTGACAATTGAAAATTTGAGATAAAAAATAATAATAACATAGTTTAAAATACCAATGAAAAGTATAAGTAGCATGAAAACAAGAACTGAAATACTCTTGATGGCCATGCTTATAATATTATAGTAGAAATATTTGAGAGTTGATGTGTATATTTGTTATGATAAGTGAGATGGAGATGGTGTTATTTATATTGTGAGAAATAGTTAAGGATCTTTGACTTTAATATTAAAAAAAATCTATACTTAATTAAATTGTTTCAATTTATTGCTAGCTTAAAAAGAAATAATGTTTATTATCTTTCCATTATAAGAAAAAAGGAAAGGAACTTGACAATTATTTAATAAAAAATTTAAAAAAAATGTTTTATCTCATGTTGAAATTTCCATATTGGTCCAAGCAATTGGAGATTGTGATGATATTGACAATTTATTATGAAAGTATACACAAAATTATGTTGACTTGTATATGTTGTTGACTAAATAATAAGATATACCATGTTTATATACATATACTTAAGTAAATTGTTTCCATCCTTTACTATCTTTGACTTTTTTTTCTTTCCTTCATAAAAAAAAAGGTAAGGAACTTGAGAATTATTTAATGAAATATAAAAACAAATTGATTATCTCATAATGAAATTTTCATATTGGTCCTAGCAATTATGTTGACTTATATATGTCGTTGACTAAACGATTTTA